CGGGCAGCGGCTTGGGCAGCGCGGGCCGCCGCGGCGCCTTCCTCCCCTTTCCCCGGTCGGTGCCTCCGGCCCGCAGTGCTGGGGAGCCGGGGGGCAGGGGTTGGTCTCTGGGTGAGCGGCAGGGGGGGCGCCGGGGGAGCTGCATCGCGCTGTAACGCGGGGCGAAGGAGCCCGGAGCTCCTGGGCCACGCGGGTTTCCTGCTCCTGCAAGAGAAAACGCGGCAGCAAAGCCGAAGGCACGCGTGCTCCCGTTTCAGATCATTCTGTCAGCCGTCCGGAAAATTGTAGCCGCAGTATAGTTTTACGGCTAAATATTAGGCAGTTTTGATACAGCTTTCTTAACGTTACTCGTAGAGTTACTAAAACAATATCTAAAATTTGAACTTTATTTTGCTTTCCTTGGAGGGAAGTATATTTCCTACGATCTAAGGGGAAAAAAATCTTTAAAATGCCCGAGAAATATTGTCACGGCAGAATTTCTTCCTGCAGGCACGAAGGTAATGTTATGAAGTAAACAGCCGAGACAAATAACTGTTTAACTTCCAGCGTCCTTGAAGCCTTAAGCATTTCCCTGATTACAGGCTTCAATGGTGCTTTTAGTGCAAAGATTAATAAATCTTAGCGACGTGCTCAGAGCTACGAGCTGACAACGTAAGTTGAACCGTGCTCTCTGGACTCTGCCGTGTGCCCGTTCCTGTTTAGCTCCTAATAATTTGCAAACGAAGGGAGGAGAGAAATGTATTTCGGTGGGTGCGGGCCAAAAGGCCGTTTCTTTCTCAGCTCAATGCCCGCCGTGTCATCGCAGCCCTCTTTCCAAAGCTGCCTGACGTTTACAAGCTCTCTTTTGCTTTACAGCACAAAGCTGCTAGCAAAACGTAACAGAATAACCCAATGATGAATTAAGGCAGGTAGCGGAGGGGATGGAGGGAGCAAAAAAAAAAAAAAAATCAATGACGAAGCTATGAGTCTGAAACAGGCTTCCCCATGCTCAACTTGAAAGCTGCTGCAGAAATCCAAACACCTTCTTTTATTATTTATGCACAACGTGGCACGGTATATGTAAAACCCATCTTTATTTCCCCCCCCCCGAAATATGGAGAGGTGAGTCAGAACAAGTATATAAAGATTTGCAGGGGTGAAGGTGTTTGCTTTTATAGGTGGGTTCTCTTTACTTTTTGCCGTGCATTTAGACCCTTTTTTTCCCAGTGTTCAGTAGCTATGAGAGCAGGAGGCAGAGCACCGCATATTTTTCCATTTCGTCCGTTTCCTACCAGCCAGCTCGAATTTGACCAAAGAGCCGAGGCAAAGTGCTCACTCCCCGTTGCTGCCTTGGCACACCAGAGTCTCAAACGCTGTCTCTAAATTTGAAGTTTTTACTAGTTGTGAAGCATTTAAAATGAGAGTCGGGGTAAAAACTCCTTGCCCAGCCTCGACCCGGGGGGGAATATGGGGCAAAACCACCGCTTCTTCGACCCCGCCCCTACCAGGGTGGACTGTGGAAGCGGGCTATTCTGGCAGGCACCTAACTCCTCTTGCCCCCCCGCAAAAGCCGTGTGTACCCCCCTGTCTGCTCGGTGAGCACCACGACGGGGGCTTCACCCCTCGAGCGGACCCCGCGCGGCTCCAGCCAGATTTCCGACGGGCCAAATCCTGACGTGAGTGCAGGGCTGCCGGGCGTCGCCGCTCCGCCTGGCCGGTGCCCCCAGCCCGTCCTGGGGAGCACGGGCTCCGCTCCGGTTTGTAAAGCAAAGGCTGCGCCGGGGCCGGCAGCGAGTCTGGTACAGTTAAAGAAATTTGAAAAAAAAAAAGAGGATTTTTGTAAAAAATCACCGCATGGCCGCGATCACTGCCGGGGAATTGCTTTTCCGAGGGCTGAACAGCGCCGGTTACTTGCTCGCCCGGGGCCCGTCTCCCGGCGCGGCGGGGCCGGGGCAGTGCTCCGCGGGGCTGAGCGTCCTCCTGCGGCCGTGCCCCACCGCCTCTCCCCTCTGCTCCTGCCCCCCCCCAGAGCTGCTGGAGGACCTGTCCGAGAGCCGGGAGTGCGTCAACTGCGGCTCCATCCAGACCCCGCTGTGGAGGAGGGACGGCACCGGCAACTACCTGTGCAACGCCTGCGGGCTCTACACCAAAATGAACGGTCTCAGCCGGCCCCTCATCAAGCCCCAGAAGAGAGTGGTGAGTGGGGATGGAGGGGAGGAGGGGGCGAGAGGAGCTGCACCCCAAGGGGCACACAGTCAGCGCTAACCAGGGGGAAAGCAGGGGCAAGGGTGGGCCAGTGCAATCAGAGCATGTTAGCTCGGTGATCCCCCCGGCTGCAAAACCAAAGCGGTGCTTCTAACCAGGTTTGCAGGCCAAAGTGGTCCCGGTGAGGAGCGAAAGGGCTGGCGGCCCTCTGGGTGCTGCTTCGGGCCCACCTCCGGGCCCTGTGCTGGTGAAATCGCCCTCTGCCCCTGGTGAGCCGCACACAGGGCATGGGCCGGCCTGGCTTTTTGAGTTGATAGACCCTGTCGGTGAGGGGGCATCAGCGGCTTGGAAGAAATTTGTGCTGCTGATGTTGGATGTTTCCAACAGAAAAAACTAAAAAAAAAAATCAAGGTTGGAAAGTGTTTGTTCAGAGGGCTAGGAATTTCTCCAGACCTGCTTTGTTTGCTGAGAGCTCGATCCTTGGGAATGTAAGCAAGTTTTGTATATAATTCAAAGAAAACCAATTGTTTAAACAATGATAATAGCCTTTGTTTTGTTTTACTCCTAAGAAATGAGCGGCAATTTTTCTAAAAATATACTCCTAAAACTAGGGGGGGAAATAAATAGTACAAACCAGAACCCCTGTTTATAACTCAGGCTGGCACTGAATAGGCAAGGAGAAAATTTAACAAGTGGGAACTGCACATTATGTTTAGCAAATCTGGGTGGAGGTCAGCAGAGAGAAAGAATACGCTCTTCAGTAATGGCTGTTACTGAGTGAGCCACAATAAATCACGCCAGTATAATCCAAGCTGATGTTTGGACCCTTGTGTATGGAGACAGTGTATCAAACCCATCAGCCTTTCAAGCCCCTTTCAGTCACGCCAGCTGCTTTGCTCCATGCCTGTTTTCCTAGTGTTAAAACACATCCAGTTCTTTATTTCACAATCATTTGAATTTAATGCCCTTACGGGAGCGGGGGTGGGGTGGGGAAACAAAAACCAAACCCGTGGTGATCAGAGCAGACAGTAAGTGCTCAAGAACCAGCCCACCTCTGCTTCAAGACCTTTCTTTAAGCCAAAGAGTTAATTTAACTTCAATCCAGAGGTTGATTACTGCTGGGTACCCATTTTTTCTAGCCCGTTGTCCACTACATTTCATGACACAAGGTGTTATCTCATCACTGGGGACAAATGCAGCAGATGGGGCTGATCTGCCACTTGTCTGAAGTGTCAGAGCTTGACTGGCCGTGGCACGCTCACCCAATGCAGATTTCAAGTAGCTGATACCTGGCTCTGGCATTTCTGTGTTTCTTTTCTTTTTTTTGAAGGAGAGGTGGGGTTGAGGAGACTAAAACAGAGTCAAACTGCAGCCCGATTTCAGCCTGACACCTCAGTGAAATAACTCTGAAATAGCTCTGCATAACAATCCCTACTGAGTACCCTGGCCATAACTATAAATCAAGCATGACTGTGTGTTCATACAGTTGGAAATATGTAGGTGAGAAGGGAAAATGTTTTGAAAATGCTAAACATGTTTAGATTGCCCCAAAGTTTCTGATAAAATTCCTGCAGCAGAAAAGTCCCTTTAGCTTCAACCCCCCCCCCCCCCATTTGTTTAGATATAGGAATGAGCAAAAGCTGTTGAAATAAAATATATGAAGATTTATACCAGACTGCATACAAAAGAAAGAAAGATTTAACAGAGTGAAATGTCTGACAGCATTTCACTTGCAAAGAAAGAAAATGAAGCATATGTATTAAAAGCAGCTTTTTTTCACCTGATCCATGTAAAACTATTGAATTGAGGGGTGCAATTTGGACACTGTGTGCACATGTATTTAATAACAAGGCCAAAAATTCTGTTTCATGAGACCTGGATTTTTAAGATTAAGAAGTATATGCATGTACTTCAACCTATATTACACTTGGCTGGGGTTTTTTTTGCTGTGCAATTAATAATGGATTACTGATTCAAAATTACAAAATTCGTATTTAATCTGGAGTTCTTTCTGAGCTGTGGTGTAAGATGACAGCTTACTGCTAAAGAAACTCGAACAGATAAAATTCAGGAAACTCGGTTATTACTCTGGAATATTCTTCATTCTCAAAACATTTTTATCGGTTTCCCAAGTGGCAGGCAGCTCTGCGGTATCAAAGGTGACCGAAATACGTCTTAACAGCCCAGGAGTAAATGATTCAAGAGGAAGGGCATTGTACCCTTAAGTTAGTAATTTCAGTTATGGGTGCTTTATAGTCAGAATAAGATTAATGCAATCCTCTAAAACTGACTTCTCCATGTAAACTTGTTCAGCTGCCAGACACAGAGCTAGACATGGATTTTTTTATATTTTTTTGACAATACGATACTTTGAAAAAGACTAGATTTATGATGTAGCTGGAATTCTTTGCTTGTGATGAACGTAAAAGAGATCACTTGTTACAGGGACTTTTATAACCCATTCACCTTCATTTCACATGTTTATGAGGACTGCCTTCACTTATGATATACAGCCTGCAGCCATAAAGCTCTGGGTTATACGGTTATTTCTGATACACGGTTGCTTCATCTTGGCTCCAAACTCCACGGAAGAGTGTCATAAATGGCTTGTTTGCATTGGGGACCTTGTTGTCACCCACCAGCTTTTCTGCTGGCTGAGGTGAAGCTCTGCTCTGTAAAACACGCTCCAGAGGCACATTGTTTTTTGTGTGAGGGTAAAATGGGTGATGATTAAAAGATGCTTGCTGTTGTACATGTTACCCCTGGGATGTCCGGGAAAGTTTTGCCCAGCCGTGGTGCCGCCAAGGGCAGGTGATTAAAGCGGCTGATTTTTCTGGTGAATTGGGACTATTGGTGGCAGGTTCAGAGCTGCCTCTTTGCCCACTGCACAGGGGAGAGGGCGTTGAACCAGCTGGAGAGGCAGCACAGGGGTGAAGTGCCTTCTCCTCAGCTGGATGGAGCTGTAGTGGAGATGCTTCCTAGCTGTCCTGCTGGAAGAAGAGCCAGTGCCTGGTGTTCTGAACACAGGTCCCTGGGTCAGCAGCTCCCAAATGTGAATTTTGCCTCTGCCATGACTGCCCAGAGTTGCAGACTCACAGTACCTCTTCATGTCAGCTTTCCAGTCTCTGAAATGAGGATAATCTTGTTTTAATTCTGGGATGTCACTGATAGATGCTATAAAAACCCCTCCTACCATCCCCGCTGCATGTTAAAGTACTTTTTATAAACTGTAAAGACATAAATCATTTGCTCCTGCCCACCTGTTTATGCCTGTGTTTGCCTACGCTTGCCCCTAGCCCTCGTCCCGGCGGCTAGGCTTGTCCTGTGCCAACTGCCACACCACAACCACCACCCTGTGGCGCAGGAACGCGGAGGGCGAGCCTGTCTGCAACGCCTGCGGCCTCTACATGAAGCTCCATGGGGTAAGCGGCTGCTTTGCCGAGGGAGATTCCCTGCAGGTTCTGATGCTTCTGTGGGGAAGGGGTGGTCCTCCCGCCGGCGAGTGCCCGTTGTCTTTGGAGGGGTGGCACTGGGCTTCCTCAAGCTTGGGTCAATGTTTCTGTTGATGCTAATGGTCTCAGCTCACAGTCTGGACCATGGAGTTAAAAAAAAAAAAAAAAGGATAAAATGACTGAAAAATACCCAGCATTAGAAAATGGTTATACCGTTTTAGCAAGTTATGGTTTTGACAAGTTAATGTGTTTGCCGTTGTAGCTCTCCTGACAGATCTGTACAAAGAAACCACCTCTGGATGAGTGGCAGTGGTCTTTTTGCCACCGGGATTTAAATGAGCTCTGCAGTGGGGAAAAAAACCCCTAGACCTTTAATAAGACAGTTTTTCATGCACAGACATAGCTATGCCAGCAAAACTTTAAATGTCATTCCAGCCTTTGCTAGGCAATAATAGAGGAAGAAAATAGCTCTATCCTCAGTGTGGTGGAGTATGTTTTGGGTGAGACTTGGAGCCTGTTATGCCCCTGTGGATTAAGTTACAGTCAAGCACAAGTGTTTGAAGAGTTAGGGCATTAGGATTGATTGGGACTTGGTCTAGTCTTCAAGGAAAAAGTAAATTATATCACAGGTTTAAACATTATAATGATAGTAAGCATATGCCTGAATTGTCTTTCCCCAAACTCATGTTATCATTAAGTTAAAATATATTTTAAGCCAATGTTTTCTGTAAAATGGTTATTAGTGTGATGACACAGAACACAAAGCTGATTTCTGAGCACATTTTCCCCATAAATATAAATTTGGATACTATAAGGCTGTATCGCAGTTAGAATTGCTTATAAGATCAAATACTAAGTCAATTATGGCCTAAAGCTTCTGTCCTAAGACACTTAGTGGCAATGATCTGGTTTGCATAGCTGGTCCATAGGAAGAGGAATATTTTTCCCCCTCATATGCATTCTTGCTTTCCAGGATCAGCCACTGGAGATAATTCCTAACTGACTGGAATAAGGAATCAGGGATCAGATATACCCTGTCCAATTCAATTTCATATGACCTGGGGCCAAATGATGCTGTTTTTCCCTAAAAGTGTGCTGTTTATCTGTGGACTGACAGAGGTGTTGGAAACAGTGTTTAGCCCACATAAAGAAAAAAAATTCCCTGCTTTCTTTATTCAGATACAAATCCCCTTGAAACAACCCATTGCTTTGCCCAAATAAAATGCAAAGTTTTTTTGGAATCACTACTGTGACACAGGAAAAATTTACTTGGTATACGTGACTTCAACAGGCATTTTCAACATCACTGTTTGATCTTGTAGTGTGTTTTGATTTTTTGCATTAGAATATATATACCTCTGTGATCGATGTGGAAATTTAATTTTTTCAGGTTCCCCGACCTCTTGCTATGAAAAAAGAAGGAATTCAGACCAGGAAGCGAAAACCTAAGAACATAAATAAGTCAAAGGCATGCTCTGGTAAATATAAAAGGATAAGACAGTTGAGCTGCAAGAGGTTTTTTTCCCCTGGCTGGAAAATATTTGTTTTTAATACCGGTTCCCCATCTTTCAGGTAGCAGTACTACTGCGGTTCCTATGACTCCAACATCCACGTCTTCTACTAACTCAGATGACTGTAGCAAAAACGCTTCTCCCAGCACACAGACTGCAGCCTCCGGGGTAAGCTGTAAGCCGATGTTGGTGTCTGTAAGCAGGCTGATCGCTGTGCAATGTTATCACAGCTTTTATCTTATCTAGCAGAACAATAATCTAAACAAACTTTCCAGTTTTGTTAGCTGGTACTGGAACAAGAGTTTTGGAGGATATTACATATAGCTGTAAACACAACGACAAGCTGAAGTACTTTACAAACCTCTTAATTAAGATCTATATAATTTTTATGATTAAGTTAACCACAGTTTAACCCCAGACATTTTGTTTTGAAGTGTTCAGGTTCTTCTATTTCAAAGGTGTTCTTCTGGAGGAAAGACAATAAGTCATGTCCAATTGATACTTTCAAGAAACAATTGTGCATGTACCCCTTTTTTTCTGAAATGATCTGGATTTATAATTCAAGGCACTGGTGCTCTCACGTTTTCCTGAAGCTGTTAAATATATATGTGCATTTGTACACATTATCCCAAATGACTGGTATACTCCAGCAAAACTTTATCCTGCTGTATGGAGGGAAGCGCAAAGGTTTTTGTTTTAAACTAAGATGTGCACTTAAACCCTGATCCAGACCCAACTGAAACCAGGCTGGGGCAGCCCGCTGATTGCAGTGCGTAGATCAGCCCTCTCCTCGCAAAGGGCTCTTCAGGGGCCAGATGCTCAGCATCTGGCAGCACTGAGCTCCAGAGGAGCACCAGGGGAGCACTGATCATCCCCTGCTTTAGTTTTGATCCTTATTTTACATCATGTACTCAAACCATCTCAAACTTTCTTTCTTCACTCAGTTAGCACATGTGACAACAAATAGTAGCACTAAAGTTGCGAAGCTTAATGTAGATTAATTTCTAACCCCTTGGCTATACATATCTGTATCCACACTCACTCCTCATGCCTTCTGTATCCTTTAATCTGCCACATCATTTCTTTGAAAAGCTTTCCTAATGTGGCTTTTTCTACTCCTTTATTAATAAAAGGAAGACATTGTTTATAATAACTATTTTTCAATATGTCTCAGCGTTCCCACATCCAAATTCCTTTCAATAGTTTAATTCCTGATGTACAAAGTTTCATTGTAGAAGGGGAGGAAAAAAACCATTTTTAGCAAATGCGATTGTTCGTGGACTGACAGGGCCACCCAGTTTCAGAGGCGCTGGGTTTTGGGTTTGGATGCTGCCAGACAAGGATATTACTAAAAGGGCTTGTCTTTGACATGAAAAAACCCTGTCAGTCCAATAAAATAAACAGATCACATCAAAAAAAGAGAAACACTAACCAAAAAGTGAACTGTTACTGGGTTTCAGGCTCCCCCCAGTGAACTACTATGCAGTGTTTTAGGCTCTCCCCTAATATTTGCAGTGGAAAAGATGAGGCCAAATTTTCCTCAAATTTTCCTTATGTTGCCTTAAGCAGCACTACCAGTCCTGAGGAATGTCATGAGATTTATATAATGGTCAGAATTAGAAGGACAGTCCCAGCTGAGGCCGAGGCAGCAGTGTAGGCCATAGGCAGCGCAGCCATGTGCTGCTCAGGGGAGGAGGGGCCATATCGATGAGATCCCATTTCCCCTATGCTGTTGCCTTCTTGGCTGGCTAAAGCCTGCCTTCCTTTCTGCAGCCCTTCTCCCTAGGAAAGCATACCAAACCTGTTATTAATAATCTTCATGTTATAATTTTAATAGTACCATTTGTAATATAATTTTGCCAGGCGGAGTTGTGTGGGTACCAGAGGAGAGTGGGGTAGGACACAATTTGTCAGCCAAAAGGCTAGCTGAGAGCTGTCTGCAGCTAAGAGAAACTCCCAGGGAACTTGAGGCTGCTCTTAATTACGTGTAGGAAGGCATCCCCCAGTGCCAGGACTTCAGTTCTCCCTGATTTTTCTGTAGCAGATCAGGCTGGGAGAGGACACTTGCATGAGGGCCAGGGAAATCTGTCCCCTTGTATCCAGCAGGCAGGACAGTAACATCTGCACAGCCTTTTCCCCACCATGATTCAGTCAGATGTAGCCTGCATGTGCAAAGCACTTGCAAATTACCTCTTGTGAAAAATTTCAATAAAAGGAAGCGATGGAGGGAGGCCGTGAAGTGCGCTGAAGCGGGGAGGTTGCAACAGTGACCAGACATATGGGCATCCCCTTGACTCTCCCTGACCCTACATGAGGGGCTAGTGATCTCCCACCCCTGCACTCCAGCCTCAAATGTACATAAATGAGGATGGGATTTGCAGGGGAGCAGTTGTCAGGACATGTTGCAGGTATGGCCACATCCTTCTCTTGGGGTCCTGGCTTTGCCCAAGCATCAGCAATTCAATGGCATGAGGACAGGGAAGACTGGAGGTGGAAAGCAGAAAATGGTGGCTGTTAAGACTGGCTCTTGTTGCCCCAGACTTCATTTGGGAACATGATCACTAGCTGCAAAGGAAGTGAAATAATTTCTTATGGGCCTAAATATCGTGGGAGGGGCTGAGCGTTCATAAGGGCCATTAAAGCTGTCAGGAGTGAAGGGATGTCAGCATTTTAGAGTGACACAGCCTGTAATCTGATCACACGCTGAAGCAAAGACACTCTGCTAGACTTCTATTTTCCTTGATTTCCACCACCTACCCCCCCCGCCCATTGATAGCCTGAAGGTTTGTATTTATTCTTAGAACAGGCAATGGCTTTACACAAGGAGAATAAACTTTTCCGGGCCATGTCAAGAGGGAAAACCCTCAGATGGATGAACCCAGGCTCTGTAACCTTTGGTCGCTTTAACAAGAACGGCATCAATTCCTGCCAGCGCTGCTGGTGATGTTGCCGAAACAAGGGCACCTGCTGGAAGAGCGAACCTGGCTCATTCCCCACATGTTACACAACTGGCATGGCAACTTGTTTTTGTTTTGCTTTGTTTTTACTTCTCCAGCCTTTATTCTGTGAAGAGGGGAAAAATGCCAAATTGACATTAGGCAGAGAAATCTGATGACGTTTTAGAAACTGTTGTCTAAAATTCACAGCAATGTTTTTGCTAAATGAAACAGAGAAAATGAATTCCTCTACTGGTACAAAAGCAATTTATTATGCCTTTTATGGGAGGCTGCCAAAAGAGTTCCCAGTTATGTAGAAATCTAATGGAAATGAAATTCAGCAGAATTCATTTGTGTCAGTAATGTTCACTTTTTGCCCTACCTTTCTTTATCTCTTTTAAAGGAAAATAAAGAGGGGAGGGCAGAAAAAGAGAAGGGCAGCAATTACTCTTGGAAATGTCTTTGAGGCTATCCATTTCAATGAAGGGGATCTTATATGATGCCAATTTTGAGACAAATTAGCAAGAACATTAAATGTTGATTTTATGTTCTAGCTGAAGTTTAAACATTTAAAAGATATGATTAATGAATTGCTGTGGGTGCAAAGTTGATTTCAAACGTCCCAAAGTGTAGAAGTGTTTGGATCAGAGATATTTCGTTGTCCCATTGCAAAGGGGCTATGTGCCAAATTCACATCTGGATCTAGGATTTAGGCCTATTTCTGTTTTCCTAAGCAGTATAAGTACTGGGTGTCCTGTGTTACTAACATGGAAAAGGTCCAGCTTCATGATATATGAAGTTGCCTTACATCCCCGTAAAAGAAGATTTGAAGGTTTCAGACAGCCTGCATCTGCATCTATACCTGCTCTCCCTTTGATGCTGCTGAAACTGTACAGAGAAAAGCTACGCAGAGCAAGTTGCTAAACGAAGGGCATGGCCTGTAGCGCACACCCATCCATTTCCATGCAGGGCCTCCAACTAGTGTGATTCCCAGAAGGACTTTATTCCCTTATTAGGATAAAAGGCAGTATGAAAACTGCTGTAAAATCTGCTTTTTATGGCAGGACATGGAAGCTCCTTGAGCCAGGGCTGATGTCAGTAAAGGCTCAGCAGTACCAGGGGAGCTCCTCTTTCAGAAGACTCTAGCGCGCCCTTTGCCTCCAGTTTGGAGCTTTCTCAGAAGGAATGTAATCACACACCATAGAATAACTTTGGACAGTTGTCTTGCAGGTAAAACTAGCGCTTACTTCCCTTGGAGGTTTACCTTGAAAAGTGGTTCAGGACTGGCTCTTCAGTGTTGTAGGGTGGAAAGCGAGAGAGCTGTCCAAAATGGCCTCAGCAGGTGGTGAGCTAGCAGGAAAATGCATTTCTAACTGTCCCCAAAATGCCTGACAACCTGGGCTGAATTATCTGAACAGCTTCTCCTACATTTGCTTTCTTTTGTTTTCAGAAGAGGGTTCTCGAGATGGTTAGAGGTGGTGTTCTTTGCTTCTTTTTAAGCAGCAGATTGGTAGGACATTCATGCAGGCTATAGGGGAATCAGCCTCCATACAGTATCTCCCAGAGTCTGGATGAACCAGAGACTCAATGTCTTAAAAAAACTCCCCTAAGCACCTGGATATCAGAAAGCTGAATGGCCAAGGGTCCTTCAGACTATCTGATAAAGATTTCAGGTGGTATAGAATAATTCCTTAGCTGTCGGGACAGAGTTTCCATGAGAAAGGCTCACCAGCATGGTTGGTAGGACTTTCACCTGGAAAATGGGAACACGGTGCCTCAGTCCTGGTATGAGTAAATATTTATCTAAACCAGGTGGAATAAGATCAACAGGAGGCACGAGGGACATGGCAACCTAAAATACCAAATAGTCTGGTAGTCAGGGCATTATACTGGGAGATCTGATACTCCAGTGTAAACCTTCTCTTGGTCTCCTGCTCTCCTGTGTTAGTCCTCACTCCTGGACAAAACTGAATGCTGCTTTCTTCTCCCCACTCAGTATCATACTTTCAGTCATTCTTTTTTTTTGCTCTGTGTACATGTATCCAAAAGAGACCATTTCATTTTGTATCAAACAGAACAAAGCAATTCAGCATTTTTGCTTCAGTGAGGAAAACCAAGGAAAAAGAGTATTTTTGGTTCTACCCAAAACTTCTATATGCATGTGGACACATACATTTTGCTTGGTTTCGTTTATTGCCAAAGCAATAAAGCCAATTACTCATACACCCCTCGACAGCAGTGGGGTCATCAGCTTCCCCAAGCCACGCTGGAAGTTGCCTCCCTTAGGAAATAAATGAAGTATTAGCCACAGATTTATGTTGCTATAATACAAAGGAGAGATTAGAAGATATGTAAACATACACGTCTGCAATATAAACAAAAGGATCAATTGGACTAGCAAGAAATGACAACTTTGCGTACTAAGAGGGTCACTAAATCAGAAAAAAAAAGCTGTGGTTTTGCAGTGCTGAGACTTGCTCTTCAGAAACCGGGGAGTGACAGTATTGGGAGAAAGTGCTCTTGGTGGGGATGGCAGTTATTGCAGGGAGGCTGAGGCTGGAAAATTGAGGGCTCCACCACAGTTTCCCACAATATGTTATATGTGAAAGAAGTTTTTGCAAGTGCATTTCAGCTGACAGTGCTTATCATTTAAGTGTAGTGAAACTAAACTAGGCTAACTGAAGAGGAAGAGAGTGTCGGCTAAGACTCAGCTTACTACAGACTTAATTGTAATGTTCAAAATTCATGCAGCATTTTGAACCTGTGAAGTGGATAGAGCAAAGGTCTATCTGATAGAGCAAAGGTCTAGATCAAGACTCTTCGCCACCCCCTCCAGCTGTTAGCACAACTCCTTGCCCAGAGCTTTTGTCTTTCAGCTGCAGAGGTGTGGGGGAACGCGGGGGCAGGGGGTGTCCCTCCCCTCTCCCTGCTCTCCGTTGTGGGCAGATGATGCAGGAAGGAGTCAGTGCAAGATAGAAGGAATCTTTCAGCCAGAGATGCTGGTGCTGTTCTACAGGCCAAGCAGCCTGGTTTTGATCCGGGCCAGCTTTAGGGGGGGAGAATTTGGCTCCAGGGTATTGACAGCAGTTTTGAGTATGATGTAGGTGTCTAAGTCCCTCTGTGGCTCTGGCTGAGGTCTCCTTGTGAGCATGGTGGGCAGGTCCTCTACAGAAAGGCCACCTCTGATCCAGACAACCTGCCTGGGGGCTGCCCCATGATCAGCTCCTGCTGGTTTGTGTAAAAAGAAGAACGTTTGCAGAGACAAACACAACCTTCCTCTGTTTGTTTGGGGGGCAAGCTCTTCCCAATGGGCTTCATTCATTTTTTTCCTCAAGAAGCTGACCTTCATTTGATTATCTATCCTATTACCAGATTTCAGCAATAAAAATAAATCCATTACCTTTTTATTGATAGAGCCAGCTGCTGTGAATTAGAAGAGGTCGTTGACTTAAGCAGCATTGTTCAGCTTATTTATTCCAGCTGACAAACGTCCTCTAACAACTAACTGTAACCTCTGTCATCTTTCATCCCTTAAAGCTGGAGAAGAAAAGAGCAGAGGAAGGCAGGCTCGGGAGCAGAGCTGTGATTCAGCCGCATCCTTTTCATGAGCTAAAGTTTGTTTTCCATGTCTCACTTTGGGAGCTGCCTGAGCTGTCTGGATTTGTCATGACATTACTGGGGTGGGGTTTCCAGGCCCAGCGGTCCTGCCCAGGTCCTGCCCGCCCTGGCTCAATGGAGCCAGGATCCGGCCTTGGTTGGGCAGGGATGGGCAGTCTTCAAACAGGACGTGCCTCCGTGTCCTCCCTTCTGGGGTGCCCGAGGGAGGGGTAGCTGATAACCCTACATGGAAACTGTGGGTCCCTGTGCCCCACCTTTGTAGGGCTGAATCAGGAAAAGGGTGAATTACACTTTCCAAGCCCGGAAAAAACAGGTAGTGATAAGATACTTGCCTAGCGGAACAACAGCAGCAAATATGGGCAGACGGGAACCTTTCAAAGCAACTCCTAGTATTTTTAGCTCAGGTTGAGCAAACACTGCTCAACTCTAATTTAAACCCTTCTTCCACTGTGGGGAGACTCAGGCTGTTAAAAATGATGTCTTTTGTGCTAACAGGGATCTATTTGATGTATTAGAAATAAAAAAAGCCTTTTTAAAAAACTAGGCTGATGCAAGACCAAAACCGGACCCAAAGGCTAGTGTGAAACTTGCCTCATTGAATTCTCCGTGCATAGTCACAGGGAAAGAGGATACAGAGATTCATTGTCACTGATTGGCAATTGTGTATTTCAGAGAGTGATAAAACGTATTAAGATTAGAGCTGCTTTGGCTGTTTTTGGGGGGCAAGCAATTGTTCCTTCCATCTCTCCATTTCTGGGTAGCAATTGATGGAGCGGGATCCTGGTTGATGACTGGGTAGAAGAATAGTGGCAATCAACCATTTTAATAAAAGCTACAGAAAATATTGGAGTCCAGGTTATTTCAGACAAAAGTGACTGCTGGCAATGAGTATCTCTTTCAGAAGGTGAGGTTTTCACTGAGTTGAGCACAGCAGCAAGAACCCTGCACAGGACTGTTTGGAAATTACATTTGAATAAATGAAGCCTTGCTTTTCCTATGTCAGGACTGCTAGCTTGGCAGGGCTCCAGGAGAGCCAAGAGCTCTACTCTTGTAAAATGATTAAATATGTATACTTTTCACTTAAACAGCAGGCAGGAAGCTTCTGCAGTCACAGTTTAGGACAGTCTTTTTTTTTTTTTTCTTTCTTTTTAAGGAATCTCATCCGAAGACTATCCATTAACAAGTAAATTAAGGTTTTAAAGCTGACATATCCAAGAGTTAATTTTGAATGAAGTCAGCTCTTAAACATTTCCTTTATCAGGTGAAAATGTTGCCCCTTCTCTCTCTGGCACTGCAAATTTTTCCTCTTTAGCGGATTTGCTCAGCCTCATGGAAAAAATGATCGCTTCTTTGTCTTTGTAACTCTCCATTTCTATGTTAAAATAAATGGACTGGTTCCAGTGTAGTTCAGAGGTTCATCTTTGTGCCTACCAGGGCTCCCCTGTGTGTTGTCTTGTGTGTGTAGCTGGCGGAACAAAAAGGCTCCTGCTTCAAAGGCATAGAGTTTCTCCACTTGAGATGAAAGGAGCATCCTTTTAGTGGCCAGTCTTACAGGGGTGAAGTGGGTGTGGCTAGCTTTTTGAAGGGTGAGGAATGATTTTAGGCATTTCAAGGTCAAGGGATCCAAAGAAGGTTGATTTCCAGGAGGTGATATGCACCCACTGCTGGAGAATTGGAATGTATTGGGATTCTCCCACTGGGAAGTAAAACTATAGGTGCCACCACTCCCGGATTACATTTTTGGTGTTGGCATCTGTGTCCCTTCAGTAGGGGGCAGCGGGACACACGCATGTTACCTTCTTCATCATGGTCTGATTTCCAGGTTTTTCTGCACATCACGTGCTTTTTTTTCCACCTTGCTGTGAAGATAACCATGTGCTGATCTCCAAATGTAGCTGTCACTCCCATCAGCGGGACTGAATGAGCAGGCTGACCCTGAGACATTTTGTCAGTTTCAGGATTTTGAGGCATGGGGGCAAGCAGAGGGCAAACCCAGGCTTTCCACAGAAATCCTAGGATAGCAGCTGTGCCCTGAGCCCACCGCGCTCCCACTCACACCCTGGTGCATGCAAAGCTCACCCGCTCAATGAAATCTCTCTTTGCTCTTCCCCCTGCTCCAGGCGAGCTCGTCAGTGATGTCTGGCCCAGGAGAGAGCACCAGTCCTGAAAGCAGCAACCTTAAATATTCAGGTCAAGACGGGCTGTACACAGGAGTCAGCTTGACCTCCACGGCCGAAGTGACGGCATCCGTGAGACAGGATCCCTGGTGTGCCCTGGCTCTGGCGTGACCCGGTGCGAGGGAAGCTGGATCCCGGCTCTGCGCAGCAGCCCCCAGGCGTCCGTACACGGTTTCTTCTGCAGAGCGGTCGCCACAGCAGCGGGAGTGCTGGCAAAGACCATTCCTCTGAAATTGTTTTTGTGCCTTGGCAGCAGAGGTGTTTTTGAACCTTCAAAAGAGGGTCTGCTGAAGCATCCAGTTCCTCATCTATGCAAGAAAAATATAGAGAAAGCAAATGCCCACCGGGGGATACCTAATGCAGCCTTACACTCTCAAAAAAGAAAAAAAAAAAGAAAAAAAAAGAAAATGGAAAAAAAAAAGAAGAGATAAACCTAGACCTATTGATAGATTCCAGAAATACATCCTCAACTTACCCAGCAGTGCTGCCTTTCTGATTGTATAGTTGTTTTCACTTTCTCATTGTCTACTCTCCCAAGAATCTGGCGTAAGTCATCAGTGTCGGGGGGGAGTAGCAAAGGCCTTAATTACCAGAGATAGCAAGACACTTTTTGACGAGCATCAGAAGTATGTACTGCTTGAGTTGGTACAGATGTCTCACACGGAACATTTGATGTCTTCACCCTGTCGGTCCTCTCTTCCTGCGCCCTTCATCTTCAGTGTGCCTTGCTCTGCTCTTCAGAGCCCAGCTATGCCCCTGGAAGAAATCACAACATTTGGTACAAGTCTCACAAGGTCCAGCTTGTTAAGATTTTGGGGTGGGGGTTTTTTTTGGTTTAAAATATTTACTCACTTTGCAAGACTGCGATATAACTTTTAAAGTACACTGTGACTGAGGTTTATGAAAGTTCGTATTTTCTGGCTGAACTGTATAGAGTCAGTCAAAATTTGCAAACAGGGTAGCAATCAGATATTTTTCTTCCATATATACAATAATTTTTTTAAAGAAGTGCAATTTGCGTTGCAGCAATCAGTGTTAAATCATTTGCATAAGATTTAACAACAGTTTTTATATGAATGAATGAATGTAAACATTTTAACTTAATGGTACGTAAATAATTTAAAAGAAAAACTTAACTAGGCATCCTTAGGCTTTTTAGTGCAACAAAAACCCATCCACTTTCTGTTTTTCCAGTTGTTAAAGCAAGAGTTTCAAAGAACAAGCCTTCTCTCAGGAAAATTGCCCTAGTCATTGCTCGGAAGTGTTGTACAAAAATGCAAATGCATCCCCAGGGTTTTTTTGCCATTGAGTAAGTATGTGCTGGAAAGAAACAAATCGCAATGAAACTTTACTACCTAACTGATACATATGTAAATACACCATAAGATATTTAGGCATCTTGAAAATGTAGGATGCAATCTGTATAGTGTGACTGACACATAGTTAGGTTGGTTTCCATTGGTTTTTAAGTGGGATGTCATTTGGAAAGTTGTTTCATCAGAGCTTTACAAATAAAAGGGTATCATTTTAGGATATTTTTTTTTCCTGTACACTGTGCCTTCTTCTTTGTCTCCAATGCAGTTGTTAAGCTACATTAAAAGCTATGGAAATGTACCTGATGCGGGCGGAGTGTCTGATGGCTGCAAGGAAGGTCTCCAGCTGAAGTGCCTGCTCTGGCTATCTAAGTCTGCATTGCGTGTGGCTTTTCTGCAGCTCCCCTCACTACGCCTTCTGATGATATGTAAAACTAGGGCCTCCACCTACCAACACAAGACCCTCATGCACACGCAGGAGGTTTTTTCTGATGAAAGTCTCGGGAACTGATCCCATGCTTTGTGAGAACTGTCATGGTTTTGCTTGGCCTTCACACCATAGCTAAAGGGTATCACCAGGTCCCCTATGTGTGCAAATATCAGCCTGTCACCCACTGCAGACATAACTGCTTAAGGCCAACTGGGTGGCAGAGCCGTTGCATGCCTTCTGGCATCCTCTGGTGGCCAAAGGTGAAGGGCAGCAAAAACTGAGGGCGCTGCTGCTGCTGAGAAGAGAAGACAGTGAATTTTAGCTACTGAGGGGAGTGGAAAACCTTTCACTGGCTCTGAGGACTGGTCCTTTGCATTGCTCAGCTGATTGGAGCAAGACTAGCCGCCGAGTGTGATTTCCAGCTATGTTGGCAGTACTGTGGGACTGGGAAGCTGGGATGCCCAACCTCCGTACCCAGTGATGCGTGGAGTGGCTGCAATGCGTCCCTTCACCTCTCCAAGCCAGACCTTCATTTGGGGTGAATTGGGATAGTTCTTTGGCCTCCAGTGAAACTATGCTGATTTGCGCCAGCTGAGAATCTGCCTCTTGGTTTTCCAATCCCGAGAGTCGAGGCCACCTCCTTACCCCAGGGGTGTTGTGCGGACTGTGGGATGAACACTGCAGCACAGCCCTCGGAGGGGAACAGCTTCTAGCAAAAAGGGGTCAGGCCAAGCCTTGTCTGGGGTTTGGACTGCTCTGGCCAGCCAGGAGTGGGGACCCATCACCCTTCCTTATGGGACCGTCACACCAGGCTTGGTTGCAGGGCCACCTCACATCCTTGCTCCCTGGGGGTTGATGTGACTGGGTACCCCAGCTCTGCTACCCTTGGGGACATGTGGGCTTGGATCTTGTGATTTACAAAAATAAATCCCTATCTGAGTGCAAAGTGAGCCATGCAGAGAAACTTTAGGTTTAAAAAAGCAAAAGGTGTGGAGAAGAGGGTGAATATCTTTCCTTTTAAAGCATTTGTTGGCTAAAATGCCCTTTTTTGTGGTTTTCCAGTGTTGACACTTAAATGGATAAAAAAGCTGTTGCTAACTGGTGTTGAAGAGTGTTCAGCCTTAGCTGGGGTTGGCATCCTTTTTTTTTTCCTTTTTTCTTGCCGGGGTGAAGTTTGGTGTGCCACTTCTGAAAAGCCTAGCACAAAACTCACTGCCGGGTATGTCAGAGCTGTATTGCTTGGAGTTATCATAAAACAGGAGGTTTAGAGTAGCGTGTCCCAGTTTTGGGCTGCAGAAAAAGTCAGCTGGTTGCTGACTCTCTTGCATGGAAGGCCACGCTGCTTTGAAACCCTGCGGCACAGTTTAAGAGGGCTCCCAGGAGGCCCTGCTCCCTTCTCAGCACCACCTTAAGCCAGGGTCTGGCTTGGGGTGGTTCCTGCAGATAACAAGTCTTGCAGGGGGCATAAAAAGATGCCCTACGTGAAAAGACTCCTCTTGGATCTGAGGCTGAAAATACTTTTTTAGGCAATATCAGGGAAAAAAAAAGAAAAAGAAAAAATAGAAAAAGCAACATTTCATAGAGAAGGTGTTTCCTGTTATTTCTTATCAGCAAAACCATCAAGAATGAAATATTTTACCTCCTTGGACCAGAAGCAGGGCTAAATCAGGTTTTCGTCCCTCTGCAAGAGGGGGGTGCAATACCGTGTTGCCTTACTGTATAGATGCTGAAGAGCTCAAAGCAAGGTTCTGTGTTATGATTTTACATGGAAAAAGACTGTAAGAACAGTACCTCCCTACTCACCAAAACTGCTCTCCAAGTGTATTGATTGCTGGAGCTGCTACTGCTCAACAAAATAAAGGTTTCTTTTTTTTTTAAATTTTTTTTTTTAAATTTTGCCTTTTAGTCCTGCTGAGCTGGCATGGCTCTGAGCTGGATTTTGCTCTGGCTCATATATCGTCAATAGCACTGATACTGATGGATGGCCTGGCCAGATGCTTTCCTCACTTATCCCTGTTTCTCTTCAGTGACAGCCCCTGGGATGGGCTGAGAAAGAACAAAGAAAGAGTTTGACCATGGATCTCGGTTACTAGTGAGGCTGAAGGAGCCAGACTGACCCCAGAGAGTCTCTCTAGTACCAGAATGAAGCTTCAGAGTTGACATTTGGGGGAAAAAAAGCATATTTTTTTGTCATGTTAGCACCTTTTCTCTGGAAACTGCCAAAATTAAATAGCCAGTGTCTCAAGGCATCTGCTTCAGGCTCCCCCACCAAGCAATACTAGAAGGCTCACATTTGCTTGGGTCGCCCTTCAAGAGTAGACTGCTCCTGTCCATGTGTGTTACCCCGGGCTCCAGTCTTCCCTAGGCCCCGGGGTTGGTTTAGTAGTGTTCCCATCACCCTCACCCATAATCATATTTTTTTCTGTTCAAAGTGCTTAAAATAAGTTGAGATCCCTACTGTGGTCCAGAGTGGTATTTTTCAGCATGGCATTGAAGGCATATACTGGTGTGGTACGAGTGCTGTGGAGGTACGTGAGGGTGCAACAGCTGCTGGGCTTGGGTTGGTGACCTGGGTAAAATGGAGAGAACCAGCCTTGGACAGGTTGCCCAAAGGGAGTCAGAGGCACCTGGCTGTTTCCAGAACTGCAGGTGGGCTTCGTTACATGTGCGTGATCAGAGGGCAAGGACCTGGGTATGAAGGGAGGAGCCAAAGTAGCTGATTTGGTTTGGTTTTCTTGCTGCAAAGCTAGACAGAGCCACATGCCAGCCCTGTAACATTTGCCATGTAGAACTTTGATAATTTACTGTCTGTTCCTGTGTAAAAATAATATCACTTCTGCTGCTTTCCAAGAGAAGAAGGGATTTAGAAGTGACACCCTGTCCTTGCTACCATGAGCCTTAGCTGAGCACAGGCTGCAGAAACCCCAAATGGACTTGAACTCTTCCTGTGTGCTCACAGCTCCAGATCTTCCTTATCCAGCTGTCCTGAACTTCATTCCCCACAGATCCTCCAGTTCCTAAATCTGTATATACTGGACATTCCAAGGTTGTGTCAAACACACTGAATTCAGTATTAAAATATAGGGCAAGGGTTATTGCAGTGGGCCAGTGAGAAGGAAACGGAGAGCCTGAGGAACAGTTTCAAGTGCCTTCTGCTCCACATGTTTCAAAAGCCTTGAAGTCTTCGTTACAGGTTTGTAACGTGTTTTGGAATCACTTATTAATCGTTCCTTAAAGATATCTGATGAAAGTTGTTATAATATGTAGGAGAGGGGAAGAGGATTTAGGTGCCCAGGTGGACACATGGTCAAATGAGTTGTCAGAGCAATGTAGTAACCAAAAGTGCTAATGTACTCCTTGAACAAATAATCAGGAAAATACTGAGTTGGAGTAAGGAGGTAATTTTACTTTGGGATGCTGCATCCAGACCTGGCATCCACATTTGAAAAGGATGTTGAAAAATTGGCGAGGTTAGGGAAAAGAACCACAGAAATTATTTAAGGACTGGGGAAAACGTCTGGCCTTGCCAAATTTAAAGACCACAGTCTGCTTAGAGTATCCAAAGGAAGACTAAAAGGTGAGTAGTATAGTAAGTCCCTTCACAGGGAGAAAATGGTAGGTGCTAACAGGCTTTTGAC